TATGGAACTTTTTTTGGCGATTTATATCATGATCTTGTAGAACTTACTGAAATATTACGTCCTTACGACAAGTAGTTCAATTTTAAAAATTCATATAAGTTTGAGAAAATGAGTAGTTCTTTTGACATTTGTTAAAATTAAAATTAGACGATTTACTTGGTATAACATAGAGTACTTGGTCTTAATGAAATACTAAACCATTAAAGTCCTATGGAAACTAGTTCAATTATAAAAATGTTGATTTTTGAAAATTTGCTTTTAAAAATACCCCGAACGAACACGTTAATAAGTGTTGTTTTCAATTAAGTGTAATAATTCACTCGGAATACTTTTAATCACTCATTTATTGATTAGAGTCGATTATTACACATATCGAGAAGTCCATGTAACTTGCCTCAAGGCAATATACCAATACCAACTAGTTTAAAATCGATTCGGTAATATGAGCTTAAATGTGGACGAAAAGTGAACACTTTTTTCCAAATTACAAAAAAACGGCTCAGCAGATTGTCGCACAAAACTGAAGAACAATTTTTCTCATTGAGTACATCAAATGGCTTTTAAATTTCTGAATCGGTTCAGGCGTTTTTGAGAAAACGTCGGATCAGAAGTCTAATTCTGCCAAATGCCAAAACAATACTAATTTTTGAAACTTTGACGAATTTTTAAAATTAAACTACTTGTCGTAGGACCGTAAAATTTTAGTATGATCTATAGATTATGGTATCTACCGTCAAAAAAAAAAAATCATAAAAATCGTCGATTTCTTTTTAAGAGTTTGTTACAAGAAAACGGCCCGGCCGATCTTTACAAAAAACTAATCAGGTCGCGATTCCCAACCAACACCATTGAATTCAAAAACTCAGGAAACCTAGTCCTCATCAAAAGAAACACATCGAATGACTTTTAAATTTTTGAAATCGGTCAGGTTTTTTGAGAACGTCGATTTACGGCAAAAAATCTGTTCACACACACACATACTTTTTCCTACTTTGGTCTCATTCAGAATGGCTTTGAAACGTCGAGAAATATATAATTAGCGATGGATTTTTTTTTATATGAAAACAAACATTTCTCCTTCAGGAAGTTAAAGAGAATTAAAAGTAAAACATTACTTATTAATTATACGTTTAAAGTCTAAACTTTAGACGCTTGCTGTGCGTCATATTCAGCAAATCAACCAAGACAAAAACGAAAACTTAAGACATTAAAATTAGTTTTTAAACTAGTTTTGCATGACTTGTATCTTAAGGCAAATTAGTACCGTAATTAAACATTCGGAAACAAAAAAATCAATTATCAATAAAAATCAATATTTGATCTCTAACCGGAACTCTAATCAAATGAGCAGTTCTCTCACATTCTGCTATTCTTTGCACGTTTTGCTTCATATCTCTGAAACCGCTAGACCATTTTTTCGCAAAAATGTAATCAATTATTCACTCAATCAATACAAATCAAATGTTCTTTGAATCATTCTAATCAGATCTGTCGTTCTCTCAAACCAATATTTACTCAACCAATACAAATCGAAAGTTCTTTAAACTATTCTAATCGGTTGATCCATACTCTCAAAGCTTGAAAAATTGTTTCCAAGCATACGTACAAACACACACGCCACCACATTCATCATTTTTTTCAAAGGTATGCTAAAATGTTCAGAAATCCTTGAAACATAAAGATATACAAAAATGTTCATTTTAGATTTTTTTGCGGTTACAATAACTTACCCTATGGGAAATTGATAAATAATGCATCCTGTAGAAATAAACATTTATATTTTCAATATTAAACAACTACATATTTTACACCGAGGAACAAACATAATTGTCCTTGAAATAAAGGATAATAAATTGCCCTAATAATATATATAAAGTAAATTAAATTAACAAAAACTAATAACTTAATTAATAACAAATGTATTGTAATAATTTACCTGGCCAATTCTCACAAACAAATGTTTTTTAATCATTTGATTCTATAAATCCTTCATTATATATTCCACATTTATAAGGGAGTGAACTTCTTTTGTTTTTATAAGCTATTCTCATGAACAGTAGTTGTGCAAATATTTATTAAATCTTTCACCTTCATAAGGCGTTCTTCAGGGTAAAATTTTTTATGCAGGTCTAATGCTAGTTTTGTTATAATGTTTCGTTGCATATCTCACAGTTATAATAACTTTCTCCAGTATGAATCACTTCATGTTGACTTAATTCTTGCATTGTTCTAAATGTTTCATTGCATATTTCACAATTATAAGAACGTTCTTTAGTATGATTTCTTTCATGCCACTTTAAATGAATCCTTTCCATTAAATGTTTTATTGCATATTCCACATTTATATGGACGTTCTCCAGTGTGAATCACTTTATGTTGGTTTAATTGATGTTTTGTTACAAATATTTTATTGCATGTATCGCACATATAAGTACATTTTCCAATATGTAGCATTTCGTGATATTTTAAGCATTGTTTGCTTTTAAATATTTTGTTGCATGTCTTACAATTATAAGGACCTTCTCCAGTACGGATTATTTCATGGTAGTTCAAAGCTTCTATTGTAATAAATGTTTTATTGCATATTTTACAACTGTAAGGACGTTCTCCGGTATGAATTCTTCTATGTTGTTTTAATCTATAATTTGATGCCAATATCTTGCCGCATGCCTCACATCTAAAAGGGCATTCTTTAGTATGCAGTAATAATGATATTCTAATTACCTAACCTTGAAAATCTTTTATTGCATTCTCCGCCATGAATGTGTTGCATGCTGATTCAATGCTTGTTCTGTTTTTTAAATGTTTTGTTGCATGTCTCACAATTATGAGGGCGTTCTCTGGAATGGAATATCTTATGACGGATTAATCCTTGTTTTAATTTGAATGTTTTATTGCATGTCTCACATTTGTAAGGAAGTTCTCCAGTATGAGTTGATAAATGTTTGTTTAAATTTGATGACTGTGTAAATCTCTTATTGCATATTTCGCACTCATAAGGACGTTCTCCGGTGTGAGCCTTTGTATGCCGGTTTAATTTTTGTGTTGTTTTAAAATGTTCTATTACATATTTCACAACTATAAGAACCTGGTTCAGTGTGAGTTGATATATGTTTTTCTAATCTCCATAACTTTGTAAATCTCTTATTGCATATTTCGCACTTATGAGGACTTTCTAGAAAGTGAATCATTTTATCTTGGTTTAAAAATTTTTCTCTTATGTATACATTATGGGGTTTCAAGATATCGGTTGTTTCAAGTTTTCCTGAAACTGTTTCAGATGATTCGCTCATATATTTACTAAATTACTTGTAAAACGATTTCTTCATTACATATATAAGGTTTTTCATCGTGGTTTTCAATCGCTTCTTGTTTTATTTCTTCATCAATAGTTACCTCTGATTTTAAAAATCGCTGAAGAGATATTTCTTCGTTTTCCAGACATTCTTCTGATATATCATAATAATCCAATTCTTGTTTGACTTGTGGACAATAATCAAATTCTTGTTTAACTTGAGGATATTCGATTGGTTCAATTTTAATTGTTGGGTTTGAGTTTGTTCCTTCAGACATCTTCGCCTTTTGTTGGTTCTCGCACATAAACTGGAAATTTTAAAATATTTTATTATTAATTAATATGTTTTGTTCAAATACAATATAATACTAACGCTAACATTTGTTGTTATTTTATTTTCGCATATAAAACACAATTTCATTAAACACTTTGACATTTCTATTTAATTCTAACCTCGAAGTTTCGTGAGATCAGGTTGGACAACGTTGAAAACATTTCAACGGCGAATTTATCGGCAGCAACATTTAAGTCACAGATTACATATTTACCACAGAGAATTTAATTGATTTTATTTCAACCCAACATCGCGCTTAAACCCTATAATTGATTTGAAATCTTATATTTTAAGGTATTATAGGGTTTGTATGTAAAAAGTTCTGAAAAATTAAACGCTGTAGTTTTTGAATGGTGCCAATTTTGAAATGCTTATTTATCTGTGATTGCGACTATCCATGATACCATGATATCCATGATAAATGAAACGTACCGAGTGTTGTCACACCTGATCTCTAACCTATGCGAAGTGAGACTCAAATCGAAATGTCAAAGTCATTAATAGATATATTAAAACATATTTATCATTGATGCAAAACATATAAATTGAATATATAGATATATATAGAATTAATAGAATATATTTATCACTGATGAAAATCATACAAATTCAAAGCTTTCTTAATTTTTTATGAATTACTGTTGGTTTGTTTATGAAAAACGACTAGCGCCGAAAATGTCCGAAGAAACAATTTCAAACCCAATAATTAAAACTGAACCAAAGAAATATTCTCCAGTTAAACAAGAACTTGATGATTATGACATTACTCCAGAAACATGTTTAGAAAACGAGGTAATACATTTACAGCAATTTTCAGAATTTGAGATGAAAATAAACAAAAAAATAAAACAAGAAAAAGTTCATGATCAAGATGAAACAAGTTTCGACGAGGGATCTACATGGAAAACGAAACAGATATGTCAACAGCGATTTTTAGATTCTGAAGTCACTATAGACAAAGAAATCAAGAAAGAAACAATTGATGATAAAGATGAAGCTCGTTTCGATGAGAATTCTTACACAGATAATGAAGAAATATGTCTACAGCAATTTTTAAAATCTGAAGTAACAATTGACGAAGAAGTTAAGCATGAACCGATTGATGAGCATGTTGCAGACACCAGTAAAAACAAAAATATTGATAATGTCGGTGAGTCAATTGATTTAGTGGATAATATAAATGAATGCAATAAATCATTTAAAAAAGTTTTAGGAAAACGTAAAACTACCCTAAACTTGAAACAATCCTTGAAATGTAAAATTTGCAATAAAAATTTCTCAACAATTAGCACCTTATATCGACATAAAATGATTCATACAGGAGAACGTCCTTACAAATGTAAAACCTGTAATAAAGCATTTACAACAAATAATTGTTTAGGTCAACATAAAAAATTTCATGCAAGAGAACGTCATTACAAATGTGAAATATGTAATAAAGCATTTATAACAAATGGTAATTTAAGTCAACATAAAAAGATTCATACGGAAGAACGTCCTTACAAATGCGAAATATGTACTAAAGCATTTATAACAAATGGTAATTTGAGTCAACATAAAAAGATTCATACGGAAGAACGTCCTTACAAATGCGAAATATGTAATAAAGCATTCATAGCAAAACAACCATTGAACCTACATCTAACAATTCATACTGGAGAACGATCACATAAATGTAAGATATGCAATAAAGCATTCAGATTAAAACAAATTTTAAAACAACATGAATTAGTCCATTCTAAAGAAAGCAATCATTAATGAGCCACATGCAATGAAACATTCGCAGCTTCGCAATCAATAAAGCAATATAAAACTGTTTATAATGTAACACTGTAGAACAATTTATAATAGAGGATTAAATTTTCATAATTTTAAACACAGTAGGACATTAAAGTTATAATTAGCAGACGTTCTCATCAGTATAGAACAGTTTGGTAAATATTGCTTATGAAATATCTTTGAAAATATTTGTGTTGACTAATGAAATATAATATTTAACTATATATTATTCACCAAATATTGTTTACTGTCAGAAGTTATTAAATGAATATAGAGTGTTATTATTTAAATCAAATTGTTTTTTATTTAATTATGTACATATGTATATGAATAACATAAATTAAAACTTGTTATAAAAAATATTTGTTATTATTGGTTACTTAATAACTACAAAGAGAGTAGCTTATAGTAATCGTTCAAAAAATGAAAATCAAAATTAACATTTTAACATACCTTAAAATAAATGAATGTATATGTATGCATGTGTGTACAAATTTTCTCTGAAACCTATGAAACGGTTTTTCATTTTCGATTTATTTGCAATTACTATAACTTACTCTGCGAGAAGTTAAAAATATTGTTAAGGATTCTTTTATTTATAACCCTTTTGTTATAATTCACTTTATTGCTAGTTTCGGATTATTCCAATTCATTCAATTATCGATCATTTATTACTTAAATATTGCTTCTATCTTTTATCCCGTACTGCTGAAAGACTAAATATTAGAGCTACTACGAATGAGAGGCTTTTGTTCATGACTTAACTAAACAATATTTTATACTCACATTTTTACATACTTATCCTAATCTCAATCTGAACATCTTGAATCTAGAATACATCTTGAATCTAGACTTTTCTAACCACCACCATTGTCTATCGTGTCCATACTCGGGCTCCCGATTCACATCACACACTAGTCACATTTTAACTAAAAGTTTACTTTCGGTTTGGGGACAGCTTCCGATGCGCTGTCCCCCACAACATTCCTTGCTTACACACATTATCACATATTATCACAATATCAATTCTATAAAACACTTCGCGCACAACACCGAGCTCATCCCTTCGACTTATGGGGCTATTAATTACCAAAACAACTGTTAGAGATTAACGCTTAAGAAGGATTCTTCCGACTGTCACCCCTGGGGGCCTATATCCGACTACTTCCACTTGCGGACTCTTCCACACTCTTTATCAGGGATGGTTTATACTAGTGATGTGCCAAGTCGAATCGAGTGATTCGAATCATTCGAATCAAGCCTTTAACGACTTGATTCGAATCAGATTTTACTTGATTCGAATCAACTCGTATCAAGCCGCGAAATATTTACTGTGATAAAACATGTATGAACACAAATTTTCATAAATATAAAAAAAATGTTTTAATTTAATTCAATATTATAATAATATAAATAACTAGCAAACCCGACGAACTCCGTTTCGCCACCAGATGGTTTCGTGAGAAAGATTAAGAAATTTTTTGTTTGTTTTATATTTGAAAAGGAAAAATTGGATTTTGTTACACAACAGTAATGAATTTATCTCGATTACAACAATAAAGTGTTTTTAGTTGAACTTCTCTAAGTAAATGAAAGTAAATCCGCAAATTATGCGTTTCATTGAAGTGCTCTTTGGTAAACCACATTTTTTGTTTTTTGGTCTGACGTTAACACAAACAAAGCGGATGGTTTTCCAACTCGTGAACAGGCAACGTATAACTGCCCATGTGAAAAACAATGATTTTCTAAATAATCTATTTGAAATTTATCCCGCAAACACTAAGCGATTGACCTTGCGACTTCTTATTGCGAACGCAAGGCGAACTGAAAATTGCAATCGTTTGAAATCAAACGCAAGACCAGTCAGAATCATTGGTATGTCATCAAATCGCCAGCAATTTTTGATTGAATGGTGAAATTTAGTGCGTGTATATCATTATTCTTTGCGGCAAGAATTGCTTGTTGACTTAACCAAGCATAATTCTGATAATTCTCACTAATGTCATTACTCGAATTTTTAATTACGGTGCGTCAAGTTCCAGCAATTTGCATTTCCGAGACCTTTCCAACGAATGCAAAATTGTGGAAATCGGTTCGTGCGTTCTGGAGTTATTTCGTCAGGAAGGAAAACCCGACTTATTTAAATATATATAGAAGATAATATAAAAAATAATAATAATAAATATAAAAAATGAATCTTGAATTAAATCATGCGAGTCACCCGGCTTTAATACGCTCAAATGTATCACCCGACTCCAATCTATATGACTTTAACCGCATTCATTGTCTAACAATATCATCCGACTTCATATGACCCAAACCGAATCATTCCGACTTCAAATCGATATGAATTCATCCGAGTTCATATGACTCAAACTGAATCATTCCGATTTCAAGCGGCCTGAACGATATGAGTTCGAAACATGTGTCTGTGTTTTAGTGTATCGACTTATCGAGATGCAGTGCGTATGGGTTTTGAGTGTTTGTTTATTAACTTCCCGTAGAGTAAGTTATTGTAATGGACCGAAAATCGAAATTGAAAATTTTTACATTTCTCGACGTTTTGGAGGTTTCTGAACATTTTGGCATACCTCAGAAAAAAATGGATGTGTGTGTATGTGTGTGTGTGTGTATGTGTGTGTGTGTATGTGTGTGTGTGTGTATGCGTGTGTGTGTATGTATGTATGGATACAATTTTTCGTCCACGTTTTCGGGCGCACGGATCAACCGATTTGAATGGTTCAAAAAACACGATTCCTATTGATAGGGAGATGTGCTGATTAGTTTTTGGCAAAGGCAGGTGAAGCAGTTGCGGAGATAAAGAGCAAGGAGTGCAGAAAATAGAAATCGAGTTTTTGAGAGAACGGAGCATTCGATTTCAATGATCTAAAAAACATTTAATTAGTAATGATTGGAAAAAGTGGTTATTAGTTTTTGGAGAAGGCAGGCCTAGCCATTTCGGAGATACAGAGGTAAATAGACAAAAAATGGCAGTTTTTGTGAGAACTAAGCGTCTGATTTGTATGATTCAAAGAAGTTTCTGCTTGTTTTAACAAACGATTGATTTTTGAAAAAAAAATTTTTTGTTCCAAATTTTTTTTTTCTTTTTTTTTTGTATATCGAAAATAATTCAGATTTAAATCGTAATTCTGACAAAAGTTCTAATGTACTTGAAACAAATATGTTTAACTTTGCAATTCAGTTTATATAATTCTTATAAATATTAGGCAATGTTACACTATTTATAATGATCTATTTGAAAACATTCAATATTTATTATCGTTACGGTACGGGAAGTTCCAGCAATTTGCCTTAAGGCACGACGCCATACACCCCACTAGTTTTTGACTAAGCGCTGAGAGCAAATTTGTTCATGAAATATCAAAAACTCATTTAGATAATAAATACGCAATTTAGATTTTAAATATTATCAAAATAAACTACACGAGTTTTATACACATACAAACTTAGCATATTTTAATTATGCAAGTAATGGCAAATTCACACAAATGAAATAATATCAATCTTTACAGTAGTGGATTGAATTTTAAGTCATTCGTAAGACGTTAGATTCAGCCCCCTGTTTAGATTAGATCTAAACAATCAATAATGTAAACATGCATTCGTTCAGCATAAGATTAAGAATATTGTTTTATATGCTTTAGGGATAGAGAAGTATTTGGTTATATTTTACTGTAAATTCATTTGAAATATTAGTTATATTTGTAGATAGTTTATTATTATTATATATATATATATATATATATATATATATATATATATATATATAATGTATTAATCTCTGCACTTTTTGGAATTAATTGCTTACTAAATTAATTAGTTCACTTCTAAAATTATTAAAGTGATATTATTATCTTGTCTTAAATTATAATTGTTCATATATGAACTTGATTCAAATTGATTCGAATCAGGTTTTTTTCTGATTCGAATCACTCGAATCAGAAAATTTTCGAGTCGGCACATCACTAGTTTACACATAT